TTGAAAATTGTTGCACTAATTAGATTTAGTATTTAAATTATTGTAAGTGGATTGCGCGAAGCAGTTTGTATTTGTGTTTTGACTATACACTTGCTAAATAAGCGCGATTTACCACGTTGGTTTCTCACAAAGTCGACAGTGATTCGATAAGCAGTCGAACGACGCGCGCTCACCGAAACTCTTCGTCGTGATTGAAATTTCGTAAAAAAATAACAAAGTTCAAACGAAACAGCAATAAAAACAATCAATTTGTAATTTATCGTAACGATAGATATTAAAAATATTTTTATTGATTCAATATTGCATACCACTCTCATGGCTTCGACAAAAATAGACTTAAAAGTTGTTTGAATGCTGTTAAATTTTTACAGATCACACAGGTGTAATAATATTTTTACATTAATTAGAATATGAAGATACAGGTATAATATGTAACGGATAAAATTATTTAATTTGTTCGATAATGTTGATCCTAATGAATTATAATAATTTGTTATTGTATACAGATTAAAAATAATTATTTTGTTTGGCTAAGCTTAATATATATTCATTTACACATGGTTTGTGCAAACTCTACTTTTTACAACATTGCAGCATCATTAATAAGCGGAGGGCCTAGAATATACAAAAAAGACGCAAATTCTATTGCATCGAATAATGAAATTACGAACGATAATATTATCAATTCCGTAAGTTTTCGTTTTTTTGTTAACAAAAATAATCTAATAAATTCAGTATAAATTAGATGGATAATGATTTTTATATAAAATATTAATTAAATGGTATGTGTTTGTATATTTAAAATGGGAAAACTTAAAATACAATAACGTAAATTTATTAAAATAATACATATATTTTTCTTTAAAAAACCAATAATTTTTTATTACTAAATGCGAAGAATTTTTTATTTACAATAATAATGATTTTTACCAAAAATTTTAATTACTTTACACATATTATAATATCATCGTCATTTTTATTCTAAATAAATTTCATCTAATTATATACAATAACAAAAACAAAATTATTTTTTATAATTGTTTTAATATTGCTCAAGCACTTAATGCTATTTATTTTGAAAACATTTAAATTTTGTATTTGAGTTTTCTGAGAAATAGTTGAGTAGTACTTTTTAAAAATAAAAAATATTTGATATTAATGATTAATACTCATGATTATATTTAGTTCAAAATTGAAAAATCGAATTACCAAATATATTAGGTATCGGTTAACTTTATATTTATGTATAGACATTTATAAATATTTATGACATATTCAATAAAATTAATATAAATGATAATGCACGTTTAAGAATGATCCAACCAGATCTAATAAAGCGCTGCTTTAAACATAATTAATTTTATTAATAATTAATATTAAAATTTGTTTAATTCCAAAGATTATATGAAACAGTATATTACAGAAGAAAAAAATCATTCCATTAATGGTATAACGGGATATTAGATATGGTTATCTATGGATTAATATAAGGTCTATCGGTAATTCTCAAGTTCATAAAAAATAATTAATTTTATTTTTCATTCAAAAGAAATTATAAATGTAAAATTATCGTTGCTTACATTATTTTATAATTGTTATTGCTTTGTTGCTTAATGTTAACTAATAATCTCTGCCATAATCGTCTCTATCTATGATTATTTTTAAAATACGATTTTAAAAACACTCTATGAAGAAAGCAGTATATGGCAAATTTTTTAATAAAATAATATTTAGACGTAGTAAACTTTTTTAAATTTAATCCCATAATTCATAATATTGATCGATTTGTATTATACAAATAAAAAAGTATTTTATTTACAACAGTTATATGGCATTTTATAATTAAAACCAAAGAATATGTCGAATAAAAAATTTACACAATATGTAAGGGGGATGATTGTTCACGATGATTGTTCAGTTTTTTCTCCAATGATTGCTTTAAATCGGGAGAAAAAAAATCTAAGGAGACGTAAAATAATGAAAATCGATTCATTTGTATTGATAAAGCCGTCTTTTATAAGCAGTTTTAAAGTCCAATGACCCTATTATATACAATGTAAAATTATATAGAATTTACTAGAATGAATATTAAATACTGTAGTATTCTTATAAGTTATAAAGTATTTAAAAATTCATCAAATGATTTTCAAATCATTACATGTATTTTTATAAAATTAATGATTTTTCCTCGTAAGACGAGTTAAAAATTTATAATGATATATTAGAGACAATTAGTTTTTTAAGTTTGCCATTATGTAATACTTTTTTTCATGTATGAATGCACTAAATGTTAGCAGTGAATATTAAGTTGCTCAAAGATTATGTGCACAAAATTCTAATTAAATTAAGAAACGAAGAAGATATTGTATAAAAGAAACGAGAAATATATGTGCAATAATGTTTGTTGATAATTATGTATTCGATTTAAATATAAATATATTCTTTTTAGTATTAATCTTATGGTATGTAAGTTTCATGAAAATCTTTAAAAAATATAGTGGCTTTCAAGATGGTTTGATGCTTATAGATTTATAAAATGATGTAACACCCATATGCTTTAATTAATATATGATATATGAATATAAATATAATAAATTAAATTTTGCATTAAATTTTAGGCTGCGATGATAAATCAAGAAAATTATCCTTCGGAAACCCACATTATTACAACAGAAGATGGATACATTTTAACAATATTTCGCATACCGGGAGCATTAGGCTCTATTCCTGTATTTTTACAGCATGGACTTTTAGAAAGCTCGTCAGGTTGGCTGATTGCTGGTAAAAACAAAGCCCTCGGTAACTATTTACATCGTTCAAAGTATTTTTACATCATAAATTAGAATCTAAGAGAGTCTAATTCTCTGCCTTAAAAATTTAAAAGATATTATAATAAAGTTTACCTAACTAATGTCGTGAAACGTCTCATGTTTATTAAACAAGTGTAGTGACTTCAGTGAAATGATTTCGCTAAATCAAGATATTACATCCTGTGCAAAATGTCTTTGTAGAATTCTTACTTTTAGCATTGCAGTTTTTATTAAGTAATTTCATGAATTCATAAGTGAAATGCGCAATAAGTTTAAATATTGATTGTCATATTTGTCTTTGGATTATGAAAATTCAAAGATATATATATATATATATATATATATATATATATAGAAATAAAATATTTACACTTGACTAAATTCACATAAAAACTTTATATAAATATATTTCGGTAATAATGTTTAATTACTAAAAGCTGACTAACAATATTGTTTAGTAATAATATATGTAATTTCAATTACTTATGGGCTTTCCTTCTATTAGTTCTTCACAATATTCTCTAATAATAGCCTGTGGTTACAATCAATATTCAATATAATATTTTTATAGATGTATTATATTTTCATATAATTTAATAAAAAATAATCATTTTATTAAGGTACAGTACGGCTTTCTTAGACGATTAACACATATTAATTAATAAATACCTTTTGATTATGAAAGAGCTTAAAAAAAAAAAAAAAAAAATTTACTAAATTAATAGTAATCATAGCTGTAAATCATACAATGTAAAATTGTCGATTATACATAATTATTTCTAATAAAAATTTACTTACCATCGATATAATGAAGAACCACACTACCAACAGCATCGAGTCACCCCAGTATTAAAGTTTTTACTTATCTTAATTCTTTCATTTATCCAATGATCCATGAACTAGTAACGGATTTGATTAATTTATTACATTCATATTTTGACAATTTTTTTTTCCTACTAGCTGCTCTAAATTAATACAATATTTCTAAAAAATTAAAGATAATAATAATCACATAAAATTTTTACACAGAATTAAAATTTTATTATACTACATATATTATCGAATTATCAATTTGATTAAACGTACTAAAGGCAAAGTAGTGTTGTTTATTTTAAATGAGAACTTTATGTCAATTAAACAATTTGTAGAAAAATCTAGTGTTTTAATCATTGATTTTAACAGATTCCAAAGATAATAAGGGTCATATTACGCATTTACAACAAATAATATATCATATAATTTTAGTTTAATTTCAGTAAGATAGTTAATTAAAATAACATAAATTTCTTTATTTTATGATAATTTACAAGTTCATATTTGTATGAAAATTTGACTTTGTACTCTCTATTCTATTTTATTAAGAATGCAACATTAAAATACTTAATTATATGTAATATACAAAAAGTATAGTACTTAGTTGACAATATAAAAATAAAGATAAATATATAGGAATTTAAATGCAAAATAAGCATTAATGTATAGATGTATTCTTTTTGTAAACATGTATACTTGAAACTATAGCCCATTCAAAAAAATGAGCAGGGGTGAGATTTTCAACAAATAATCAATATAAATATGTTTACTTATTGAAATAAAAATATTTGTATGTTAATATATTCATTAATGATTTTAGCTTATATTTTATCGGATAATGGATATGATGTCTGGTTAGGAAATGCCCGTGGTAATACTTTCTCAAGAAAACATCAAACGTTATCTACTTCTGATCCACGATTCTGGAATTTTAGGTAAAATTACATATAAATAATATGCAAATTAAAAGAATGAAATGCTACAATAGAACTTTCTTCTTTCCTTCAGAGTATTTTATACTAAAGTCAGAAAATCTGCTCCAGCAAACAAAAATTTACTTATATACGACAAAATCTCAATACTAATGTTAATAATTTCACTTCTACTAAATTATTTATAATTTATAATTTATGGATTATAAATAATAATTTTAAAAAGTGAGCCAATGGCTATAATGTAATTTTCCTGATAAAATATGATTCATTCAGAAATTCTATTTCATGCTTGAACACTAATATTCTTTGTATATTTTAAATACATACGTGTCTATCACTCACATGACTTAAGATTGTGTGAGGTATTTAGGGAATGACTTGACCGAATTTATTTCTTTGAATCTCAATGTATTGTGAAAATCAAGGCTATCCAAATGCTAAAGAATATTGCTTATATCATTCTAAAAATATTTCCATAAATTTTAAATTACTAATATTCTGCCAATCTGATTGATTCTCGTCATCTCTCTCTCTCTCTCTCTCTCTCTCTCTCTCTCTCGCTTGTTCATAAAAACTAAGATCGAAGGATGTAATGGAATAAAATAAAAAATCGAAGCTTGAAACAAGGTCAAATCTTTTATTAAAATTACATTAAATAATATATGAATTTAAAAGTACACCAACTTTTCAAGCAAAGTTACAAAGAACTTTAAGGAAAAATTATTTACATCGATTTTAATGTTCATATCCTTTGTGTGGCTTTGTTCTAACAAAAAATATTAGTAAAAGTGAGACACTGATAATATAATAAAATTGGTATCTATTAAATTTAAATAAACAAAATAAGTTTTTACGAAGATTTTTGAAATAACAATAATAATAAGTTAATATGGTTTAAGTACTTAAAATAAAAATGAAAATAATAATGTATAAGAAATCAGGAGCATAACCAACTATATATTCAATTTTGTTTATACGGATATATATATATATATATATATATATATATATATATATATATATATAAATAAAAATAAAAGCAAATAAAAAAAAAAGTCAAAATACAATATTGAAATATCGGAATTAATAATTATATTTTGGATATTTGATAAAACGAAATTTTTAAATTAATAAATTTAATAAGTTATAATGATATTTAAGTTAATTCAGATAAAAACTAAACATTAAAATTAAAAAAAAAGTTAAATATCAGATTAACAATACTGGAATCAATTTAATATTTCGTTTGGAAAAATCAATGAAATTTTGAATTTTTTTCGGATATTATGATCTTCGCAATATATGAATAAATAAATAAATATATATAAATATATATATATATATAACTATCCACATACTTTTTATGTATTTTAAACCCTCGTATATAAAGAATATTATTTTGAAAAAATTAATAATTTTATAAAAAAATATTTAATATTTGAAATTTACAGAAATATTTATAATGGAAAAAACTACGATTTTTTAAAACTGTGCATTATTTAGTGTTAATTATTATTACTGAAGAGAACTTATTGTTAAATGTTAATTTTTGTCACAATTCACATTTATTTTCATACTAATAAATTTATATTTATATACATATAAATGAAAAAAAAAGTGTCTTTAAATGCTCCTTTTTACTATTGATATGTAATTTGTTGCAAATTTCGTATATATAAAGAAGATTCTTTTACATGTCTAAGATGGAGAATTAGTGACTTTGAAAATTAGAAGATTAATTTATATGTATATTTCCATTTATATTTTCTATTTACAAATAAATTTGTATTTCCAAATAAATTTATATTTACAAATGAAAATCATAATTTCTTTGTTTCCAGTTGGCAAGAATTAGGTTTATATGATCTTCCAGCTATTATAACTTACATATCAGAATTAAAAAATGACAGCTTATTTTGTGTGGGCCATTCAATGGCTGCGACAACATTTTCCGTTATGGCTATAGAAAGGCCAGAAGTTGCTAAGAATATTAAGGCAATGATTACCTTAGCTCCTGCTACTTATTTACATCACATCAAGGGGCCAGTAAAATTGCTATCATTTTTTTGGAGAGAACTTCAAGTACGAATTTTTACTTAATATATTCAATTTTATGACAAGATTTTTCGTTATTTCTTTATATTGGCTAAAGATATTTATTACTATGTTAATATAACAATAAATAGCAGTTGTATGGAGAACATCTTAAAATAATATTTAATAGATCATTTCGATTCTTAAACTTACATCTATACAATAATATCAAGTATTTTAATCTTCAATTATCTTCTATAGAATATGATTGACTGTTTATCTAAAGAAATATTCTTTTCATAATACTATATTGGTTACCAACATGATACCTAATATGTATTTAAATCAGTACTAAATAGAACATGTAAATCAGTTTCAACTGAAAGGATTTGAGAGGTTTTATATTTAAATAAAATACCTTTGAATTCGTAAAAATATTTATGACCTCGAGTACAAAATATAACAATAATACGTTTTTAAAACATATTGCTAAACTATGCCTAGCAAAGTAATCTTCATTTAAAATTATAACGATATAGCATTAAATTAATTTTGAAATTGTTATATTAAGATAGAATTATCGTCTGAGAATCAAAAGTCAATATATATATTTTCTTCCTTTTAAGCGAATATCAAATGCCCTGGGTATATACGAAGTTTTTCCACGAAATATTTTTGTTGATAATTTCGCACAATATATTTGTAAAAAACAAATTTTGCGAAATATTTTTTGTAGCAATTCGTTATTTTTAATTGCTGGATACAATCCAGAACAACTTGATTATGTAAGTATTTCTTATATTATGCTCGAATGTTCGATTAATCATTTTTTTATTTGAACAATACATTGAATTTCTTTTGAGCTTTTGTGTATTTATTTTAGTCCCTTTTGTCAAAAATTTGGAGTGACTTTCCATCTGGTACGTCAATGAAATTATTTATTCATTGGCTACAACAGATGACTGTCAATAAATTGCGTAAGTTTGATTATGGATCACGACTTAATTTAGAAGTTTACAATAACTCTCGGCCACCCAGTTATGATCTTTCAAAAATTCAAGTGCCAGTTGCAGTATTTTGGTCAGAAAATGATTGGTTAGTGGATAAGAAAGTACGTTAAACCATTCAAATAATTGCCTTTTTATATTCAAATAAAACTTATTACTAAAAATAATTCTATTCTATTGTAGGATGTACAATATTTTTATAACCAAATACCTATAAAATTAGGAAATTATAACATCAAACATAGTAAGTTCAATCATTTTGACTTTTTATGGGCAGTGGATGCCCCAGAACTTGTTTATTATAAAATTCTCCAAGTGATGGCTGATTACAAAAATCAAATTATTAAATAAAATGTGAAATAAATTTTGTTACGATTCTATATATATATATATATATTTCATTTCACGTTCAATATATCTGTTTTTATAATCCCACTTTATAGCGACTAAATATTAAAAATATTGAAGTAAAATATTAAAATACTGAAGCGAGTTCAATTTTATGAAGTAATTAATAGATTACGTAAGTACTATTCAAGTAACTAAATATTATTTGTTGTAGTATAAGATTTCGATAGAATGTAACTTTGAAAATTTATATTATTTTTCGTAATATCAATAATTAAACATTGTTTCGTATAACATAATATTAATAATTTAAATATTACATTATACATTATAATAATGATGATAAATATAATATAACAATTATATAAATTATCAAAATAAATAAATATAAGTAGATAAAGTGTATACAATGAATACAGATGGTATATGAAGAATAATACTTTTTTGAAAAATATTTTATATATTATTTAATAAATTTATTTAAAAATTTTTAATAATAATTCTTATAAACGAAAAAAATTTGACAGATAAATTCTTCAAAGATTCTGTATAACACATAACATATATAATAGTGCATTTATATTAAAAAAAAAACAACAGACGATTACATTATTATTATTATTATTATTTGTAAAATAATACGTTTTGTAAAAAATGATTTTATATTACAGTAGGTATTGTATACGTGAAATGATTCTAAAATTAGCTAAGCGAATAAAGGTTTTTGTAAAAATTATTAAAAATTAATTCCATTCGTAGTAGTTAACGTAAACCATTTCCCTAAGATTACATTTACAACAAAAAATATTACTTATTTCAAAATAATATAATCTAAAATTAAAAATTAACTCATGATTAATTATTTTTTATTTTAATGTTAATTAAAAAAAAATCCTCACTTTCCGTTCAATTGTGGATATTCGATTAATAAATGAACATTTAATGATACTTATATAAGTTAAGTCCAATGTTAAGTATTCAAACATTTACATTAAACAGATCTTTAATAATGATCTCTTTGTTATATTGTGTGATTTACATGATCAGTGTATAGCAAAATTAAGAATACATTTTTTATACTATGAATTTTTATTTATTTTTATTTTTGAAAAAATTATTACTTATATTTAATTAAAATTATTTAAGATATCATGGATTAAATATTTATTATTGATTTCGCTAAATTCATTTCTCATAATAAGATACTGCATCTTGAAGATATTAAATTATAAATATATTTTTATAATGGAAACTACATGAGTAAACATTTATTCTACAATTTACAATAATGTTCTCTCTATTATCTGACTGCAATAACATTAACGGTACAATTAATTGATTTAAAGATAAGCTTTTATATTTCTGTTAAACAGAAAATATTTTATAAAAATATTAATTACATAAATAATTGTGATACGATGCGCGTAATATGAAAAAAGTAAGAATACATTTTCTAATAACATTGTTGTTCTTTTTATTTCTTATCGATAGATAGTAATGACTAACACTTTGATTAGCATATTCAATATTTAATTTAAACCAATAATAGTAATAATTTTCTTATTTGTTCACATTTTTAGATGCTTATTTTTCTGCTCTTAATAATATTATGGCATTTTCAAAAGATCCATATAAGATGAACGATCTATAAAAGATTAATGAAAGAAAGGTTTATGATAATAATAGTGCATTATAATAATTTTTGGTTTGTTATATTCGAATACATAAAACAAAAAACAAAATAAAAAAAAACTATAGAACAAAAAATAAATGAAAAACTTTAAGTTATAATTGTATTAATTATTTAATACTTATAAGAATATTAAAATATTAACACACAAATTTCTTTTTAAAAATATTGTATTAATATTTTGTATAAATTTCTTTTTCTGTATTTTTTAAAAGATTTAAAAAAAAAATTTATTTCAAAATATTGAATGGAAATATTAATTATGAAAGTACCTGTTGAAAATATACATGTCTGAATTTCGATTTATGAATTGTAAATTTTCTTATAACAAATTTGCAACTCAGAAATATAAATTTCGTTGCCATTCACATCTGTTATTGTGTATTAATATTGGACTTTGATATTTTTTTTATTATTAGAATTTTGAGTCTTTTAAAATAAAAAAAATCATTTTAGTCAATTAGTGTATGAATAAATTAAGTGTCGAATTAATCAAATGAATAATACTCATCGTTATTTTTTATTTTTTCATCGAGGAAAAAATTTAAATTAAAATCCAACAGGAATATTAATTTTTCAATAAATTAACACGATGATAATTCTGTAAATTATTTCCTAGTGGTCTATATATATTAAACTTTTTTTTTTTCCTTTTAATATTAAGAATATTAATTTAATATTAATATTTGAATATTATTTTAATTTATATTTGTATTAGTTCGCTCTAATAGTATATGATATAATTCGTGGAATATCATTATTTTGCGCTTGGAATTGTAGTAATTAAAAAATAAAAGAGTTAACTCTATTAAAATTAGCTTTATAAGTTTCAGTCTGTCATTTATCGTACATTTATCCATAAAAAGATAGAATTGTTTTCAATGCCTTAACAACTTAAACATAATTTTTGCGCGAACATGCGACAATTGTTCATTGAAAAAACCGAAAGAAAGCGAGCATTAATAAATATTACTTTCAAATGATTAAGCCTCTTGTAATATTATCTATAATATGCTTCATAGACTTTATTATTATAACTGAATATAAGTAAAATATAAAATTTACCTATCATAAACGTCCAATTGTGCATTGGACGAAAAAAGAGTTGAACGATTAGTCGCTGTCGACGGAAATTCGCGGGACTACGAAAAATCTTATGGTAACAGTAGTGTTTAGTGATAAGTGGGCATTGTCTTACCGACTGAGGCAGGTCGGTATTAATCGAATTTCCATATTCGTGAATTCTCGTGTGGGAGCGCTGTAGAGTTTTCTTTATGTCGTTGTCCGTAAATGTTTTTCTCTCGTGTTTACACGAGAGCTGTCGCGTTTGAAAATTGCCTTTTCTTAATACACGCCTGATTGTACGTTCAGTTATTTTTATAATTATTTAATTTAGCTAGATATTACTGGTAAGCTTTTTATTAGCGTTGTATTAAATATTGTGCCCAATGAAATGTAATGTAGGATTGGTTTAGGACGATTATTAATGAGTGCTTAAAACGTCTTACTTAATACATTTAATAATTCCTATGGAGAATATAATAATAATCCATCAATGATTCGTAGTTGTGATGTAAAGTGAGACTTTTAGCTAAAGAGCATTTCCTATGACTACATTCGATGGAAATGATTCACTTGATAACAAATTCCAAAAACAACACATTTTCTTGATGAAAAACATACGAAAAAGCATTAACATGATTGAAAAGAGAAGATTTTAAAGCACGGCTTTTCAATCATTTTAAATAACATTGTTGTTGCATTTATTTTATAACAATTGAAAATAATCCATTGAAAAATATCAGGCTATAAACAATTATTTACAATTACGAGCAAATGTATATTATTGGATTGTATCGAATGGTATGGTATTTCTTTAATCGTAGAGATTGTAAATATAATGTTAACTATTTATCGTTAAAGCTGCTCTTTACTTAATAAATATGTGAACAATTTGTAAATTGATTGTAACGCCTTTTCCTTGCATAAATATTTTTATTGTATACTTATTTCATATTCCTCACCTTCGCATAATGTTGCGCAGATCAAATGAAGCATGACATTTCCACATTAAAATGCTATAAAATTGTAAATGTAAAATCACATTATTATTATCTTGAATGTACATATATATGGAATCATCACTTCACGATAAAATAATGATAGCCAATAATGACGACAAATTCTATATCGTTATGTTTTAGATTTGATTCGGACACATTGTATAAATATTGAATAAAAATGCTGATAATACAAAATATAAGATGAATTTGTTTGAAAATATTTCGAACGTGGCTTTCATTTATTAACAAAATAGCAAATCAAATCACCAAAGTGAAATGAATAGCTCCTTTATATATATATATATATATATATATATATATATATATATATATATATATATATATATATATATATATACACACACTCCTCACGCCCTGCTTTCTCATTCCTGTCCGCCCATACACTTTGCACAAATTTGTAGTGAGATATCGGGTATAATAGGGGAGTGTCAATTTTTCCGAAAACCCGTCGTCTTTGCAGTAATACACGAGCAATAACTTCGTGCTCGCTGCCGATTAATATTCCCGGACTATTTATTTTCAATTTTCCACCTACGCTATAATCTGCCATCCAACATTTATTAGATTTTATAAGCCTACATCAAAGATGAGGGGCTACGTTGTTTGTTGTAACGAACAATATTTAAAGCTTTTCACTGATTTATCACAATGGTAGATCCATCGAATTAAACTTGATCGGTACTTGAGAAAATATTCGTTATTTGTAAGTAGCGCACTCTCGCCCAATCTTGCAATCGTCATTTCACATTCGATGCCCCCAAAAGTCTCTCGTATAGGCAAATACGAGGGACTATAGTTAAAAATTCGATTAGGCGCGATAAGAAAGGTTTTTAGGAAAGAAAATTATTCGATGAAAGATACCTACAGCCTCCCACTTGTTCATCATTACAATGAGGCATGGTAAGTGTGGTCTTCCCGTTGGTCAATGGATTTCAATTTGTATTTTAGAGCTAGAGGAATGGCCAGGAGTGGAGGAACAAGCACGCAGGCAGTGACAAAACAGGGCGAGAGATTCTCCAGAGACCTCGAATTTTAAAGTCCAAGACCAAGTGCTCGGTTCTCTTGGTATCCCGTCGTTTGACGGTTCGCGGAGGTCAGTCTCTGTCGTCGACACTGTCGTCGAAGCTGTCGTCGAAGCTGTCGTTGAAGCTTTCGTCGGTCTCGCGCGTCGCGGCGCCCCTGCGCAATGTCGGCCTTGGCGTCCCTCGCGGCGTCCACGTCAGCGTCGC